GTCCTTGGGTCACGTGGTGCACAGGCAGTCCTTTGACGTGGGTCCTCCCGCCGTGGTGGCGGAATGCCCACCTGGTCCGCTTGCGCCGTATTCTGACTGGGTCGCTGACGTGACCCCGTTCATTGCTGCCTCCCACTGTTGGCCGTGCTGTGCCACCCTGAGGACAGTGATGCACGGTCTCGGCGTGTGACGGGCACTCGGTCTCCCTACCGTCGCTCCCACGCGCAACCTGGTTGTGCGACCGCTCCCTGGGACTCTGTGACCGTGAAGGGCTTGCTGACGTGGGTATACGGCAGCTTCTTCCTCTACGAGCGCTCTCCTCGACCTGGCGTTGCGTGGGTTGCGAGGCGCTGGTTGTCACTTAGTCGGTTGGTACGCGCCCACTTCCGATGGACCGTGTGTCCCTCACCAGGTGGGTACTCGTGTACTTCTGCACTGCGGCGCACCATATCTCTGGTCTCCTGCGTGCAGTCGTTTCTCTCAGCAGTTGTTTTGAGGTTGCCCCAGTTGTCTTTGACCTCAGGCTCACTCTGTCAGCCGCCGGATGCGTATTCTGAAGCTGCGACGGTTCGCTGGCGCTGTCAGAATTCCCCTCCTTGCTAGACGACGTCAGCTACGCTATCGGTCTGCCCATACCCGGCAGACACCCTGGGCTGACTTTTCTCGCACGGAGTTTGGTTCCCACCACCATGCGGTTGTCGGTTGTCACGACCCATAACTGGGAATGTACGGCGCGCCATTTTGGCCGCGTCCGCTTTGCTTCCTGGGTGACTGACCCTTCAGACTCCCTGGGTTGCAGCTTGCACGACCGCCTGGCCTCTCAGACGCCCTGGGTTGCTGCTTGCCCCGCCGCCTGATCCGCGGCCCCCCGCGCGCGCCCGGGTAATTCGTCACGGCCGCAGCCCGGCCGTGACCCCTCGCCGCCGGCGCTTCCGCCTGCGGTTGTAAAAAAAAGCATCCCCACCAGCCCGTCCAGAAACGACGCCCAGGCGAGTAGATGGTCGTCCTGAGGGGCTTTTCGGCTTCTTGGGTGCCTCGGGGGGGCCTCTGTGGGCCGTTCGGGATCCTCTTTGGGGCCTCCTGGGGGCCTCTTGGCTTGGGGCCTCTTGGGGCCATCTTGGGGCCTTTGGGGGCCTCCTGGGCGCTACTTGGGGCCATCTTTGCCCCTTGGGTGCCTCTGGGGGGTCTCTTGGGGCCTCTTGGGGGTCTCTTGGGTGCCTCCTTGGGGCCTCTTGGGGGGCCTCTTGGGGCCTTGAAGGCCCTGCTGGGGCGCTCTTGGGGCAATTTTGGAGGACATCGGCCAAGGAAGTGGGGTTCCTTAATTAGAGCCCCCCCCAGGAGCTCCACAAATCGCTTCCTGGACCCCTCTTGGATCGCTCTTGGAGCGCTCGTGGCCGCTTTTGGCGCCATCCTGAGGCTCTCTTGGCCCCCTCTTGGAGCTATCTTGAGCCATCTGGGAGCCATCTTGACGCGTCGGATGTGCATCGCAAGCGAAAGAGTGAGAACACCGAACACATTGCTTTTCCCTATGGTTTTGAAGCATTTTCGCCTCTTGGATGCATCCTAATGATGCTCTTGTGGGCACTTGGAACCGTCTTGGGGAGTTCTTGGAACGTCTTGGAACATCATGGGGACCATCTTGAGGCATCCTGCGCTATCTTGAGCCATCTTGGAGGGTATCTTGGGTTCTTTGAGGCTATCTTGGAGCCGTCTTGGGCCATCTTGGGCGCTCCAGCGCGCCGCGGAACCCCCTGTCCAGGTCAGTGGGGAGGGGGTAGGGGGAGGGGTAAACCCCTCCCCGAAAGGGAAGAAGGAGGGGTGGAAGAGGAAACGCTCTAAACCACCGACGCCCAGAGGGCTGGTGGGACTAAGAAGACGAGT